GATCCAGTCCAGGTAGACCGCGTCCTTGGAAGCAAACCCATAAATTCGAACGCGGCCTTAGTCTCCCTGAATCCCTTTACTTTCTAAATCCTAACATTGTATAAAAAATAAGAAGTTGCCTTTACTCCTTAAACTTTAATCCCACTTAGATATTTTTGAAGATGTCCTTCATTTTTAAGTCCAATTAACTGCCTGTTTTAAAACATTACCTTACCACATGTTACATTGGCTCACAGCTTCTATGCATGGAGTGATTAGCAGTGAAGATCTCCATACAGCGATGTTGATGAGTGGAAAAAAACCCCACCTGGTCTCCTTACCAAAGGGAGCACCGCACATTTCAAGGGATGAAAAGACGTTTATGTGCGCTTATAGTCGTGAAAATACGGTAAATTCTAACACTATCCATTCACAAAAATATAAATCCTACGGGAATGCCGGGGCCCCGGGCTGCAGCCCCGGTAAGCCCCTGCTAAAATCCGTCCCAGACCTGGATATACTTTATAGATATTGCTTATATATTGCCACAGTGTTTAGATATTTTTATAATTCTATTTACCCTATTCCATATTATATGTGTCATCTTGCACGATTGTACCATAAAAAAATCCCTAGTTTGTGAACTCCTTCTCTGACAATGTCAATAAACCTGATTCTGTTCCTGAAAAAACTGCTGTGAAACATTTTGTTTCTATAATTTCTATTTCTATATTTCAGATTAGATTTTAAAACAACACAAAGTGGGAAAAGAGCATGTGGGAAAATGTGTTTATTGTGATGAATACTGAACAGGTTTACATTGAGAGTCGTTGGGATGATTTGCGTGTTGTACAGAGAAATTCGTTGATCTTATCAATGCAGTCCTTCAAGTCACTCTTCCCCATATCAGGAAACTTTCGCTGCAGTGTTGAAACCACAAAGTTGAGCTGTGAGGGGGAGGGGGTCTCTGTAAATGGTGGTGGTTGAATTCTATTGTCAGAGAACAAGAGAGATGTCTGCAAAGTACCGCGTCAACTCTGAATAACCTGCTAAAGCCATTTGTCGTTATTTTTTGCATTGATTAGGCGGGGGTCCTGAGGGGTAGGGGGTCTCACAAACATAAGTTGTTGATGAATGCAGGCAGACCATATTTCTGGTTTTCGTCAAGATAAAAAAAAAAAAAAAAACGGATTTCATTATTTGGGTTGGCAAGGGAAGATGTTTGGCCTGTATAACCCACACATCAGTCGGACAATAACATGACCAGTCCACTTACAGTATGTCCGCAGCAGATAACCACAAAAAAAAAAAAAAAAAATTCAGATGCTTTTTTTTCTATTTTTTCCCCTTTGGTTGGGGAAAAAATACTCTACTTCCAGGTGTGTTGACTATTTTAACTGTTCAGTTGTTAGCATTTTAACTGGAAACTGAAAATAAAAATAGGAATCTTCTACAGTATGTCATACAGTTAAAGAAAAACCTAAACTTGGGCTACACAAGTTTGCCAAAAATAGAAACTGCATTCATGTTCAACCAATATTTCTACTTTTATTTAGATTTTTCTTTGCACCAACCAAAGGGGAAAAAATAGAAAAAAAGCATCTGAATTTTTTTTTTTTTTTTTGTGGTTATCTGCTGCGGACATACTGTAAGTGGACTGGTCATGTTATTGTCCGACTGATGTGTGGGTTATACAGGCCAAACATCTTCCCTTGCCAACCCAAATAATGAAATCCGTTTTTTTTTTTTTTATCTTGACGAAAACCAGAAATATGGTCTGCCTGCATTCATGAACAACTTATGTTTGTGAGACCCCCTACCCCTCAGGACCCCCGCCTAATCAATGCAAAAAATAACGACAAATGGCTTTAGCAGGTTATTCAGAGTTGACGCGGTACTTTGCAGACAACTTACTCTCTTGTTCTCTGACAATAGAATTCAACCACCACCATTTACAGAGACCCCCTCCCCCTCACAGCTCAACTTTGTGGTTTCAACACTGCAGCGAAAGTTTCCTGATATGGGGAAGAGTGACTTGAAGGACTGCATTGATAAGATCAACGAATTTCTCCGTACAACACGCAAATCATCCCAACGACTCTCAATGTAAACCTGTTCAGTATTCATCACAATAAACACATTTTCTCTCATGCTCTTTTCCCACTTTGTGTTGTTTTAAAATCTAATCTGAAATATAGAAATAGAAATTATAGAAACAAAATGTTTCACAGCAGTTTTTTCAGGAACAGAATCAGGTTTATTGACATTGTCAGAGAAGGAGTTCACAAACTAGGGATTTTTTTATGGTACAATCGTGCAAGATGACACATATAAGGGTAAATAGAATTATAAAAATATCTAAACACTGTGGCAATATATAAGCAATATCTATACCGTATATCCAGGTCTGGGACGGATTTTAGCAGGGGCTTACCGGGGCTGCAGCCCGGGGCCCCGGCATTCCCGTAGGATTTATATTTTTGTGAATGGATAGTGTTAGAATTTACCGTATTTTCACGACTATAAGCGCACATAAACGTCTTTTTATCCCTTGAAATGTGCGGTGCTCCCTTTGGTAAGGAGACCAGGTGGGGGTTTTTTCCACTCATCAACATCGCTGTTGATGCAGAAGCAGCGAGTTTAAAAATAAAATTAATAAAATTGAACAATATCACACCAAGATCCCCAATAAACCTGCTTTTCAGTTGACTGCTGATCCACAGGACAAAAAACTGGTCATAATCAGGGAAGCAGACAGACTAAAGAAAGCTAGGAAACGTCTCACCAAAACACACAAATAACCTGGCGCTGATGGGAGGCAAACAATCAGATTAGAACCGCAGAACCAGGGAGACAGGGAGCAAGAAGCAGAGGAAAAAACCAAACCATCAGCACCAAGATCATGACATAAAAACCCCATTTCCATTTCTTTCGTTTTTAAAATTAAATAAAAAAATGAAATGGCAAAAATCCAAACGTGTCTGCTAGTTTAAAGTCCATCTTATTTATTTGAATATTTAACGAAAACATTGCAGATGCTTCACACGCACACAAAATGACAGAAAGATCCGAGCGTTTTAGTTTCTATGTATATATAATACCTTTCAAAACCTATGAGTGTTTTTAAAATCTAGTGATTTTTTGAAAGAAAATAAAAGAATAAAAATAGTTAAGCATTTTAAAAGGAATTTAAAAAAAAAGGAACATAACAGCATTTTTTAAATAAATGATTTATTATGAGAACATATCATTTCACCATTTATTGGGGGTAATTATTTGAATGCTTATTTATATATTGAACATGTGTATATTTATTTATTTATTTAGATTGGAGTAGATGTGATTAGATGAGCTTTATTGATCTCACAGCGGAGAAATTCACTCATCACATATTGGCATAGAAGTTACTGGAGGTGCAAACAGGGAGGAAAAAGGTGCATTAAGATGCTTTATAAAAAAAAAAAAAAAAAAAAACATTCAAGGCAACTCGGCTACAGTTGGGATTGAACCCACAAGCTGTTAGGCTACACACCACTCAGCTTAACCACTGCGCTATAAGTTCGCAACACATGACAACCCTCCCAGTCTGCTACTTGACCAGACTGGGAGGGGTGTCACGTATTGCACGGCAAGAAAGTAACACACAAAAACAAAGCTTTCAACGGCACTTATATTTTACAAAACTAAAGAAAATATATTTTCTTACATACCCTTTTGAATAACTTTGGCTTATCTTAATGAGGAATCAACTTTGGATATGATTTTAATTTCAACATCACCAGCCGCAGCACTGTCTCTGTCGCCTTTCTCTGGTTGCGCTACAGTCCGTATCCCCGGCTCCAACTTAATTAATTTTATTTTTCATTAAATAATAGCGATGCAGATAAATAGAAATAACAGTTCTCAGATAAGATCGGAGGTGTATCTATAACTACGCAACCATTTTCATAAAATAAGATTATGCAGTCACTTGACTGCATAATCTTATGTTAAATTAATTCATTAACTTTATTTTAATCAAAAACAAAATAAAATAGCACAGTATCACACCAAGATCCCCAATAAACCTGCTTTTCAGTTGACTGCAGGCCCACAAACGTCACCCTCAGCACGGCAGAGGTCCCAAGCGCCACCTGGTGGTTGTCCGGGTACATTGCAGTTCTTTTTGAAATAAAAAAACTGGCCTCAGGAAATACAACGTGATTCACGTGGGAATCACACAGGAATCACGCAGGAAACCGTCCATTTCCAACCAGTCCCCACTGTAGACGGGTTGGTCGTTGGATCGCCAACTTGAAGAGGGAGGATTTGCCTTCGGACTTCTGGCCAGAGAAAAAACCCGTAATATGTAGCCAACATTTGGAAGATGAATGTTTTCAAGATGACTTGGATAATAGCGCGTTGTGACAAACACCAGATACAGCACTGGGACTTGATCAACAGCCGATACCGCACCATGACGTCACAAACCAGTAGGTGGCAGTAGTGTTCTTTGACAAACATGGATGCCTCCAGTAAAGCACATTCACATGGAAATTACTCTGAATTAAAAACACTGATCATTTATTGAACAGGATGGAAGAATTTCATATTTAAAGGACTTTCAGAAGTTTGAATTCTGAATATGAGCGGATTTTTCCTTTTAAAAAGGTTGGTAAACCTGGTTTACATTGAGCGGTCAGCTCCTGGTGGAGCAGGTGGTAATTCCCGCTGACACAATGTTAAGAAAGGTTGATCTGAAAAAGAGAAATTTGGAGAAAGAAAAAAGAGAGAAAATATTAAACCTAACAAATTAAATAAATATATATTCTCATAACCTTTCATTGTTTAAGAAGTTTTATTTCAAGGTTGCATTCTTTTATATATATTTCCGTTTAAAAATTTTTTTTTTTTTTTTTGCTTCTACGATGGAACCAGATTAATTCAAACCCATAAATGATTAAGGTTGAATCCAGCAGCCACCCCCCCTCCTGAGCGTTTCCCCCCTCCCCGCTGCGCTCAGTGGTTTGCTCCATCCTCCTATCAGCTGCAGTCTGCTCCCTCTGCTCTGAGTCTTGGAGCTGCTCTCCTTTCCTCTCCGGCTGCCTTTCTTCTCTCCTCTCAACATCTTAAAGCGTTTCTTTCTCCCTCAGCGGTAGGTCGCTTCTCTTTTTCTTCCATCTTTTCTTTTCTTTTTGCTTTGAATTGTTTGTTTTCTCCGCTTTTGTGTTACCAGTTCCTGGAGTTTCTCTCGCAGCTTCATGATCATTCCTCTCCTAAGAACCTGGATTGTTGGTGATAAAAAACTTATTGCAGGAATCCACTTCTGTTCATTTACATTTTTATGTCTTGTAAGAGAATAATCTTGTTTTTTATTTACACCACTTTTCCTCCACTTTTGTCTTTATTTTTTTCTTTTTTTTCTTTGCATTTTCCCATTAGACCTCCTGATAAACTGGATCCATGCAGCTCGCAGTGTGAACGCTCTGGGTGTTGGGGATGTGATGCCTGATGCTCTGTTTCTTGGACAGCTCCTATATATATAAAAAAAAAAACTCTGGTTCCACTGATGTTCCTGCCAACTTTTTCTCATTCATTAACTAATTGGTTGGTGGGGGTCTCTGGTCGTTTTTTTTTTTGTATTTTTTACCACGGAAAACACGCGTGTGGGGGACTACAGCTGACGGATCTGTTGGTTATTTCTGCAGGCGTGTTTTTGTTCTCAGTGGAGAGGACTATATGACTGGATGGCATGTTACTATATTTTATTTATTGTTAGTTGGTGGTAGCCCACATAAAAGTCAGGCTGCTGTATTCTGAATAAACTCCAATTCTAACCTTAAATCAATTAGCAATTAACATAATCATTAATTATTTTTGAAAACACCAGTGATTCACAGACCAGTGATATTTCAGCTTAAAGTCGTAGGGAAATCATATTAAAGTGTCAAACCATTCTGGCTTAAACATGTATATAAATCTACTCTTTATCAGATAATATTGTCCAAAATTTAGAAAACTTCTGTTTAAAAAAATCCTGTCTTAAAATCTGTATTTTTTTATCTTCTGCAGGCCAGTTAGTTCTACGTCAGCCTGAACACCTAAATTCGGCCAATCATATATCAACGGTCATCTGTCAATCTAATGTTTTCGGTCATAGCATCTTGATTCATATGTCCCAGCTAATATACGCAACGGTTGAAATCAGAATCCTTTCCTTTCCCATTGAGTTGCGTCCCAGTGTTCACGGGGATGGACGTCTGTGTCTTCAGCAGGCGTAGAGCTAACAGAACTGGCAGCGTTGCGAGGCAAGGGCTCAAACATGTACGGCTGGAAGCCTTCTACACCAAACCAAGCTTCTGCCGCCCTGGCGTCCTCTTCCACAACATCTTCGTCCCGCTTTCCTCCTCTAAATAAAAAATGGATGACGGAGGAGACTCATCCACGACCTCCGACACTAAACTCTCCTCCTCTTGCATGTTTCCTCTGTCCATAGCGTTCCTTGACAGCGTCGTTTCTAAGTCACCGATTTAGTGCTACTTGGTCCCAATGGAATTTCCCATTGGGAACCTGCTAGCACTAAGATGCTAACTGGTTAGCAAGATGCTTCCCACAAATCGGCCACAACCAAACTTGCTTGCGAACCTTCCTCTACAACAATCCCGCCCCCTTGATAATCGACCAATCACATTCACTTTATTCACTCGTTTAAAGTCGGGCACCATTGAGGAGAATTCGAAAATGCAACGGTTGGAACAGCCGCTTCCCTACGACTTTAATAAACCTATTTCATTCATAATTTTAGAATTTTGTAAATCTTTACTCATCCCACATTGACTCTTAATCATACGCTAAAGTGAAATTGTTTTTAGTGGGAGTCATTGCTGTCTGCAGGGATGTAATAACAGAGGCATCAGTTTGGGGAAAAGGTGTGAAATGACTGTAAATAAAATTAGGAGGCCTTTAATTCAGCTTGAACCATTTCTGATTGTTGTTAGGATAATTATCATGAATGATGTGTGAGTTTATCACACCTTGGTATGGGCTGCTTGTTGCGTGTCAGAAGTGATGTTTTCCAAAATAGTTAACCTAATTAGGACAGCTCCTCCGTCTGGATATCCAGTTATAATCTTCATTCTGAACGTATGTATAGTGTAGAGAGGATGTAGATTTGACCAATCAGAGGCCTCCTGTCTGCGGTCACCTACAATTTTTGTATTTTTTTTCAACTATGATTTTGGAGAGGTGCAGCAGAATGTCTGCGGAAGGGGCGGGGCACATTTGCATTAACTGCGACACACACACAGACGGCCTGGTTTCCGAATATAAAACAGCCTTTAGCGGTTTTGAATACAAGTTACACCTCTATAACATTACAACGGTACAAGTAAAAATACATTCACAAACCTATCACAAATGTAGGAGTAAAAAATCACGAATTTACAAGTAATAATTAAAAAACTGCATGTATGAATACATGAATAACAAACTTATGGGGATGAAAGACACATTTTAGATTAGATTAGATTAGATTAGATGAGCTTTATTGATCTCACAGCGGAGAAATTCACTCGTTACATATTGGCATGGTAATAAAAGAAGGTGCAAACAAGGAGGAAAAAGGTGCATTAAGAAGAATAAACAATATATATATATATATATATATATATATATATATATATAGTATATCCAGGTATATACAGTTTTCTAGTATGTAGATGTGCATCAGGGAATGCATGACTACAAATCATGCATTTTCTAACGGGAAGTCATAAACCTACGAGTATGCACCGCAAAAAAATTTAATCTAAATAAGTCATTTTTTCTTAAAACAAGTGCATTTTTTCTTGAATTAAGTATTTAAGTGAGACACTTTGCCAATGGAACAAGACAATTTACACTTAAATGAAGAAAAAAACAATTGCATTGTCTTATTTCAAGTGCATATTATCTAGATACCTTATTTTAAGGGTAAAAATACTCATTCCATTGGCAAATCACCGTATTTACCTGCTCAAATTAAGGGTAAATACTCTTAATTTAAGACATTTTTACTCATTTTGAGGTCGTTTTTGCAGTGTGGTTTACTAATTATTGGTACGAATCACGTTTTTTTCATATTTGTGATTTGAGGACACTTCTTTGATTTTATTTATTTAGCTCAGGCTACTCATAAGCGATATTATTGACGTTACTGCTGATATATAGTCGAAATTTTCCACATTCATTAATAAAATATCACAGGGGATGGTATGGGGGGATGGCCATTTACGAAGGGGAGACTTTTAAGATTATTTAAAAAGGGGGGGGATGCCCATCCCCCCTCAACTGAAGTACTGCGTGTCATAAATAAACTTCATTGTTTGCAAAGTTGTCACCATCTGTTATTGATTAGATTGGTACTCAGGATGAATAAATCCTAAACTTTTGTGAGTCTCAAAAATATTGTTAATCTTTCCCATTAGTTAGACTAAAAAACAGGATGATGACACCATAAGGAAATAAGAGCTGATTTGTTTGGAGCTGACGTGCATCAGGATGCAGCTACAAGCAGAACTCTGAAACTGGTGGGAAGAACAGAGACGTTGGCTTAGATCAGAGAGGCTCTGAGATCTGAACTTATCCTGTGTGCGATTTTATTCCCAGACAGCATAAATATTCAGATCTGCTCATATAGTTTACAGCTAAACAGAAATGGCTGCAGTGCTCTAATTTATCGACACACATAATGTAAAAATGCTTCAGTGGTTATTACAACCGTTCTTCCTCCCTCATACATCCTGATCCTGCAGCCTCTACTAAAAACCCTGGAAAGCTGATTTAAGACAAACTAACTTCTCCATATCTTCCTGTTGACCTGTGTTATTTTTATTTATTTTAATTACAGCATTTTTGTTTTTAATGAACAAAAATGAGAAAAGAGGAAAATTATTCCATCCTACTTCTTACTTAAGTCCGGTTATATTTATATATTAAATATGAAATTATTCCATCCTGTTCAATAAATGATCAGTGTTTTTAATTCAGAGTAATTTTCATGTGAATGTGCTTTACTGGAGGCATCCATGTTTGTCAAAGAACACTACTGCCACCTACTGGTTTGTGACGTCACGGTGCGGTATCGGCTGTTGATCAAGTCCCAGTGCTGTATCTGGTGTTTGTCACAACGCGCTATTATCCAAGTCATCTTGAAAACATTCTTCTTCCACATGTTGGCTACATATCATTCTTGTTATGGCCTCTTGGTATTTAAATAAAATAAAAAAAACATCAAATTAATTTGTTTAATCCAGGCAATTAATTTTTTTGTGGTTGTCAGGACCTTATAATATTGGACCCAATATTCAACGCAAGACAGACAGTGGGAAAGTTCAAAACATTTAATAAAAGAAAGCACAGAATGAAACGCAGAGCTGTAGATTTGCAGCGGCTGTGGGGGGGGGGGAGGCGGGGCACCACCCTTCACTGGCACTCTGGATGGGGAGGGTTCAGTTCAGTTTATTTCTATAGCTCCAATTCACATCATGTCATCTCAAGGCACTTTCCAGTTCAACCAGATCATCCAGTCAGATTGATTCAAAGTTTTCTATCTAAGGAAAACCAGTTGATTGCATTGACTCATTGACTCAAATACAATCCCCCACACTAAGCATGCTTGTAGCGACAGTGGAGAGGAAAAACTCCCTTTGAACAGGAAGAAACCTCCAGCAGAACCAGGCTCAGTGTGAGCGGCCATCTGCCGAGGCCGACTGGGGTTCATGGAGACAGAAGCAGACATAGAAAAAGAAGCATAGATACAAACAATAACCATAAAAGGCGGCCCCGTCCAGGAAACACACAGCCAGGCAGACGAGCTCCGAGCCAGCTCCCATGCCAGAGGATGAAGAGAGCACTTATGTTGAGGAAAAAACTGTGAAGGTTGTGTCAGAGTCAAAACAAATTACACACACTTTAAAAAACCTTGAGAAGGAATTTGGCTTTTCATGGGAATAAGTATGTTTTGTCTAAATCCACCCCTCTCTGAGACATTTTCTCAGCCTTGCAGGTGAAACAAACTGAGTAAAAACATTTTCACTGGATAAATAGCATAACTAAATATATGATGCAAGAAAAATCTAAATTTTCCAACCACATGTGAGAAGGAGGATTTAAAAT